TAAAATACAATTAGTACTTCCCAATAAAAACCGATGGAATCATAGGAAGAGATTTCCTGCATAAGCATGCATGCAAGATAAATTATGAAAATTTCTCCCTTACAATCAATACATATGATGACCGAATTCAACTCCCCGTATACGATGAAATACTTAATAAAAGCAATATATTTCTTCCCCCAAGATGCGAAATCATAGTCCCCATAGATATAAAAATAGACAGCGATGCTTTAGCACTAAATAGAGAAGTAGAAAACTGAATATTTTTAGCCAATTCAATAATACCAAAAAAATGGACAAAAACACATCAAAATATTAAATACATTAGATAAAGAAATCACAATACAACACCTACATATCAACACCGAACCACTCAACGCCTATGAAGTTATACAAAACACCAATGTACACACTCAATATAATGAGCAACGATTCCAACAAATACTACCATCCATAAAATTGGACAACGTGAGCAACTCTCAAAAACAAGAACTCGTAAAAATCTTCCAAAAATTTCAAACAGTAGTCCATCTAGAAAATGAACTACTCAAAGCAAATAATTTTTACACACAAAACATAGAAACCGGTATACATATAAAACTATAAACTACCCCACACACAAACTGACACCATACATGCTCAGATAAAGAAATTATTACAACAAAACATTATAGAACTCTCAATTAGCCTCTATAATCCACTAAAAAACAACATTTCTTCCACAGTGGAACCAATTATCGTCTTCATGATCTTGATGATATTCTTATAATAAGACTTTTTATCTCAGAGTTTCTTTAGTTTGTTTTGACTTTTTGACATTGTTCTTCGGACAATCCTTTTTGCAAAGTTTTTCGAAAAAAGTTATAGAGCGAAGTCATTAAAGAGACAAACAAAATGAATGAAAAATCGGTTGAAAAAATTGCTTCAAAATGTAATTGATAACTTTTTAGTTATTGTTATACTTTCCGAGCTTCTTTGGAAACAGCAATTTGACAATAGGATTTTCATCTTATCCATTGCTGTGAATTGACATTTCTTACAAGAGATATTACAAATAAAATTATAGGAAATTATAATTTATAGGAATGAGCAGCGACGTTATTAAAAACAAAATAAAATTATTACAAATATAGCAAATTAAAAACAATATAGCGATCAAATTAAAAGTAAAAACCAAAAATTTCGGACCTTTTTCTCGTAAGTCTCATTACATTTTGAACATCATTTTATAATTATGTTTATGCTTATCTAGTATATACAAGAGATTTCCTCAATTGTGTTTTATCCATTTTAAGCCTAAGGTCATTTATCAAATCTCAGCAAGTCCTTCATCATTTTTCATTCTTCCGAACTTGCCCTTAATCTACAAACGCCGTTTTCCAATATAAAAAAGCTAATTTGTTCTATTGCAAATGCGTTGCCACTTTTAAGATCGTAAAAATTTAATATAAAAAACGCTATAACGCATTTGTAGATTAACAACACTAATAAAAAAAAACAAAAACCGTTACTTAACGGCAAATTTTCATTGTTATTGTTCATTTTCGCGATCTCCATTTGTAAGTTTTGATCTGCTCGAAAAGACTGCACAAAAAATGTTAATTTCTAAGAAACAAAAGGAAAAAATCCTTTTGATGAAAAAAGTCACATTCATGTGAAAAAACTAATGGGACTACTAAAACAGAAACAGCGGCTCGCATTTTGTCAAGAAAAGAAAATGGTGTAGGCGCGATGTCCAGTTACGAAGGTGATGATATGCAGAAATTAGATAAGCCCGAAAAAACAGAGACGTTCGAAGAAAATTCTAGATTGCATTCCGGCATGAACTTAACTAAACTCCGCCGCCGCCAACACCTGAGGAAAAGAAAAAGCCGCAATCACCTGCAGCGACGAATGATATCGCCCAAAAGGAGGCCAATCAATTAACAGAACTGCAGCAAACGACTATGCATTTGGAAATTAAATTAGAAACTGTGGTTTCTGGAAGCCCTCTTAACAGCTTACAACACGATTTGAAGGCAGCCAAGAAAGTGAACAACGCATCGAACAGTCAGGTTAGTATTAACTTCTTTGATCACAAGTATATCTCATCGTATCTATCGTAAATCGTTGGTTTGTCTACAAAGTTTTTCTTGTAATTGCTAGCTTTAGCTGCAGCTTTTCCTTGTTATACTAATTATCTATCTGGTTTTATTTTCTTGCTGCCTGTCAAATGTTTTTGGGAAAAAACGTTAAAAAAGTAATGCAAATTAACTATTTTCACAAAAGAACCTTTGAGGTCCCAAATTGGAATTGGCAATATTTAAATATATAGTGAAATCAATTGATATTTTAGCGGTATGTGTGCATTGTTTGTTAATCTACCTTTAAAATCAATTGTATATTTCAAACCTGTAATGTTTTCCCGATATATTCACAGAGCATAGCCGATTTTTGCACAATTAGAAAACTAATTATTCGTTTGAATTTGATTAAATTTTTTTTAATAAAATATACTTGGCTATGAGGTGAATAGAAAATATGTGTTACGGAATATTTGTAGCAGCCAAGCGGCATAAATTGGTTTTATAAATTAATTTATAAATTCCCATCGTTTAAGCATAAGTTAATGTGAAACTTTTAATCACGGTATTACATATCATAACACCGTTAATAGAGAAAGACTTAGCTGCATCCATTGAGTAACTTTCGTTATGATCTATGGATTTCATTCACCATTTAAAGTTACTATTTTTATATGCTCTACACCACTTGCGATACAAGGATATATTAAGATTGTACGGATGTAAGCAACAACTAAAACGACTTTATATAGACCCACCTTCTATTATACCGATCTAAGCTTGTTTGTCTGCCTGTTGCCGTTGTCTCGTGCTCAACCTACAGGCCGCGACATTTGAGTCATTTTGATTAAATTTGGCACACTAATACGTTTTGAAAATTGTTCAGTTCGGACAAACTATTTCTGTAACACCTTAACACCTTATTTTCAAAATTCGGATAACGTCAGGGTGGTCTAGGCTACCACAGCTACAATATTTTTATTTGTTTTATTATAAAAATGGTTTGCTCTAAACACAGTTTTATACATATGGTCAACAGCGATAGCAACAAATTCTGCAAACATTAGCTGCTCAGCAACAACAGCATACACAATATTCAAGGTACATCTTATAATCGGAATCGGGGGACGTCGCTTAGAAACTTTGGAAAATATTTCCTATGATTCTAATGGTTTAGTAGATTATCCCAACAAGACTTTTTCTTTTCGAAATAAACTTAGAAATCATATTTTTGATGTGTATAGAAAAATTCAAAACTAAGTGAAAAAAAAATTGTGAAGAAATGTGTGTCCCGAAATATCTTCGAAGGATCGAAACTTATAGACGAAAATATGACAAATTATCGTTTTTTTGGGGTTGTTTCAGTTCCTCATTTATGGTGAACGTGTACGTAGGCAAGTTGCAATCATTTTTTAACATTGAATTCCTAACTTCTAACTTCTTATAGCAAGTCGACAAAAATAGCGAATGAAGATAATCCTTTTGATAGAAATAAGTTATGCCAGACGTTGGTTCTTCTAGAGTTGATAAAATTATTTAATTAATTAACTTCTTAGTTGAAAGTTGTGTGCTGCTTGTACAACATATTCTACAAGTTACAGGTTGATCTTATTTGGTTGGGATTGGACAATTGTAAGACCTGTTTTTAAGTAAATTTGCGATTTCTAACAAATAGAAGAGAAAAGATCATCGTTGACAATCAATCCTTGGTATTATCCAAAAGCTACATATGAAAGTCAAGTCCATTTCATCTCTTAAATATAAAATACTTATATATGTAGGAGGTCTGCCACGCACAGTAAGTTTCAGTTTTTTGTTTTATTTCGGACATGCTTGTTGTCCGATTAGCCGAATTTTTTCAACGAACTTTTCCATAACTCTTGAGAATTTCGTTGACACGGGCCCATTTTTAAATCTCATCAGTGGCTATCGAAAGGAGTACATTTAGCTAGTTTCATATTTGGATTTTAAGATTGGTCACTCCAAGTTAGGCTTACCCGTATCGATATTGAATTTTACATGTATTTTGATTAGTGTGTAATTTCTCTCCGGAAAAACATGCTTATACTTTTGCACAGATACATATTATGAAATTGAAGTATGGTATAATTCAAATAAACATGTTCTAAAAACGAAGTGTATAAATCATTTAGAAAAAGAATTCAATACGTGTAAAAAGTACACATAAAACGGATATAACAGTAACCGGCTTCAGCTGACGGGATAACTTTTTTAAATAGTTTGTGTATCGTATCATCCAGACAATTGCTAGCGCGGGGACCACCACAAACAAGAATCAGTTCCATAAGTTAAAATAAGTGACGATGCGAACATAGAAATTAATGAAGAATTTTCTACATTCAGAAAGGCAACAAAGTCGATCTGTACATAAGTTTATATATATGTAAAGTAAAAAAAATATTTTTCAATATATTTCGATGAATCTAAATAAAAGCTTTTTATGTATTATTTATTTACTTTCGTTCTGAATTTAATTTTTATAAATGGACTTACCCTAGTGTGTATGGACGTTTGTATTTAAATCCGCTTTTATGATTCGTTTTTCAGTTGAACACTTATTAGTCGATTTGGAAAAATTTTTAGTTGATTTGAAAAATTCTTAGTTGATTTGGAAAAATTCTCAGTTGATTGGAAAAATTCTTAGTTGATTTGAAAAAATTCTTAGTTGGTTTGGAAAAATTCTTAGTTGGTTTGGAAAAATTCTTAGTTGATTTGAACACTTTTTAATTGGTTTGGAAAATTTTTTCTTGTTGGATTTGACACATTCACATAGGAAATGTATTTTTTCATAACCTCAAATGGAGTTTAAATTATCTAAATTTTTCGCACGCACAGAGTCGTATTTAAGAATTTAAATTTTGTTTTCGCATGAGTTCCTTACAACGTAATTCAAAGTAAGTTGTTTTTAAAATTTGTGAAGAGACAACATTTAAGTTAATTTAAGTTATTCCAAAATTTTTTAGCTTTGGTGTCATCCAATCAGTTTAAAACTGAGATAAGTAACAATTATGATTGGGATGACGATGACATTTTTGCATCCATAAGCACTCAAGAAATCTTACATCAAAACGTGAAGATCATTAATAATTTTCCCCATATGTCTAAGTTCCCAATAAATACGCAGATAACTCAGGGTATGGTATTGATATTCCTCACATTTTATTATGCTTATTATTTTCATTGCCTTCAAAGGTAACCAGAGGGATAATATTAGTGGGTACTCTAAGAAATTGGTGCTGAGAGAAACTAATGTTGCATCAGGACTTCAAAAAGCTAGCGGAGAACCACCGAAGTTGAGAGTAGGTAAAAACGCACTTGGCGTGAGTGTAATTTCTATTGAAAACGAATCGGAAGAAGTGAAAAGTAAAGTGAATCGAGATGAAGTGGGCAATTTGAATAATCCGGAAAGTTCGCTTGTTTCTGCTGGTTTTCAAATAGCGAATGTTAAAAAAATCTCCATATCGAAAAAAAGCCAAATATCCGTACAAAATATTCTAAAAGAATTTCAAGACAATTTGCAAGAAACGAATTATGAAACTGAACTAAAAGACATGAAAGCTCGGATGTCGATTAAAAGTATGGAGTCCAAGTTTAGAAAAACTGCAAACAGCAGTACGCAAATAGCCAACAAAACAGGCTTTCAAGCGATGTGCGAAAAAGGCAAAAAAACATTTAAGCATTCTACACGAGTAAATGAAGCTTTTATTGAAAATGGAATAGAAGAAATGGAAAATAAAGTTACGTTTAAAGTACATCAAGATAATGTTGGCAAGCTCATTAATCCGGGAAGTTCGCTTGTTCGGGAAAAACGAATGAACGAATATCCCAGCTGCAGCAGCAAATTGTCAGCAGCTGGTCCAATACTGTGTCGCAAAAGACTTTTATCATTGTCATTAAACCCAAAATATAATTATAGGCCACCCCCCCAACTTTGTGAGACACCGAATAGAAACAAACGACAAACCGAGACTACGACACCAGGATTAGGGGAGTTTATTAATAATGCTGTTAAAACAAGTATACCAGGCGCCAATAGACCAAAGAGGGGGCGGCTCTCGGGCTTGAGACTTACTGGCATTAGTCCAAAGAAATAAACACTACTTTATATTACATTGTGTAAGAGCAACGGAAGCCGTTTTTTTAATTCAAAAATGTCTTGATATCTTTTTTCATTTAAATTAGTTTTGCTATTTTTTCGCATTTTATTTATTATTATTATTATTATTAATTTCGCCAGAGATATAAATTCTAAGACTAAACTCTTAAAAGCACTAGCATCTAAGGCTATCGGCCATTTTATTTAATTAATGACATTTCGATGTATTTTACTTATCCTTGTTTTCTTGTATCTTTTTGCTCTTCAAAGACTTATATAGTTATAGCTTTTTTAGTGTTTATTTATATTCATTCCACATAAGAATGCAGTTATTAATAAATGAAAACAAAAAAAAAATATACTGATGGAATATTATTCGATTTTCAAATTTTTGTAGATTTATCTGCTGTAGTTTATGAATAATGAACAAGGAACGCAATTTTTAACGTCACATTGTAGGCGTGTCCTTCGATCAATATGCGCCGTTTTCAATATCAGCCTCTGCCCAATAATTCCCAATGCTTCTGCCAGCTTCATTTTTGTGGCCAAGAGACAAACAAAGATCACATAGATGGGCAGACAGCCAGCCGGACGTACATAAATCGATTTATAATTAGATGCTGATCAGGAATGTATATACTCTGTAAGGAAGCGTTTTTGCTTCCTTACGAAATACAAGTCCGTCCGCTTAAAAGTCCACCCGTTCTGTGAACAATACACGAGCAGCCCACTCCAACTTCAAATGCAGAATCATAAATTATACTTACAAACGTAAGATCATAAAAACACACACCTATTCTTGTGAAATTAAAATGATCTCAAACTCAAGCTAAATATGCTCATACTTTTATAAAGAGGAAATGGACACATATTGCACAGGCCTACACTAGTTAACCCATAGGGACACACACTCCAGCACCAAACGAAGGGAAAAGGGAATGAAGGAAACTTGCATGAAATGGCTAGTAGGCATAGAACATGCAAAATCATACAACACAAACGAACTTAGACACAAAACCATAGGCAATATCTACACAACCGCCAAAGCACAGAATAGGTATGAATAAGAGCTGTCCAACACAAACCAAAGCCGTAGAACTTGTGAGTCATATAACTCAAACCCTAGTCAAACACAGGTATAAAACCATATGAAATAAGTACAACATACACAAGAAGAAATCTGTAAGCCTTAAAATTGTATAGAAACGCGTACATATTACGCATTACGGTATAAATTCCGTTAGGTTGCTCAAGCATAGAGAAACCCTTGCTTCGCAATGCATAAGCATACTCGCTCTTGCAAACGCGCATACCCAAAGAATCACGCATAGCATTTTATAGTACTGTTAGGCCATAGTAACATACAGAAATCTGTATGCCTTAAAACTGTGTAAGCGAACGATAGAAACGCTTACATATTACGCATTACTGCATAAACCCCGTTAGGGTATACAATCAGGTAGAAACCCTTGTGCTATACAATGAATGTACGATCAGACAAAACAAATAAACGTTAGAGTCACAAATAGCAATGCATACCAATATCCGTACAAAGAGCACAAACACACGCACAATATTACACAAAATATACAAAGACACGATCACACATGTAGAAACACACAAAACAAAACAAAACAAGCATATGCAAACACAGTGGCATAGAAGGGCACAAGCACTCACATACCTAACGGTGATTGAATCACGCGATTTGGTACCTGGGTGCCTGTGGCGTCGAAATTTGAACAAACATAATAATAAGTTAGATGTAAGTGATATCAAGTTATGTATAAGCAGGAGCATGCAAGTCGTAACTAAGGTTGCGACTGCAGCCAACCTAAGCTAAGTATACACATAAGCATATGTATACACACAGAACATGTTGGCAACAGGACAAGCGAGTGAGATTCAGGCTATAAAGAGCGGCGCATCGCACAGGCTCGTTCAGTTTGGTGTCATAGCTGTCT